GAGTTCATGAAAGAAATCCATTATTTAATTATCATTTTTAGTAGAGATTTCATAATTTTTTAAAACTCATTTGAAATTCCCAAATGAACATGAATTCTCAAGTCTACACAGATTAAAGATTTGAGGTGTTTACATCTTTTATATCTCATTGTACCGTCTTTGTTTTCAATTTAAAATTTAAAATTTTTTGCACAAAAAGAACGGTTTCATTATGATTTAAGCACAAATTTGTAGGAACAAATTTTCAAGATCATATATATCAGCCTATACCACCATGTTAGAGGGTGGTAACTGACGATGAAGGTGATAAGTGGTAGTTAATATATTGATACGGTCATGTATACAATCATTATAGAGTATCATATATACAGCCACCAAATAATTATTACCATCTTGGTATAGGCGGGTAATATATGTATCCATTTTTTTTGTTACTGTTAATATGATTTTTGTTTGTGTAAAATTTGAATTCTAATATAAAAAAGAGATAGAGCCCATCAAATGTTATTGGGTTATAAGTTCTAGTATGAAAAGGTATCATCCTTAATTAAGTGGGTTAGCAGCCAGCATCCTGATCATAATAGAAGTCAGTAACAAATAACAATCACCTTAACCACATTATTAGAGGTTTGACAGGTCAATCAAGGGAGGCTAATTTGAATATTTTTTTTATAGATGGAGAATTATATTTTAGCATTTTATAATAATAATAATTATTATTATAATTATTATTATTAAACTAAAATTTAATTTGTTTCTTCAAAGTGTGTTAGTGGGATTCTTTCCCTCTGGATTAGGCAGAGAACTCGCATTTCTCTTTGGTCATTCGGTGGAGGAAATTCCGAAAAACCTAGAAGGTGCTGGCCTCCTACTTTGGAGAAATAGGAAGAAAAAAAGAAAAACCGAAACAATACCAACCAACGGTTGGATGGTGATTCCTCCCTTTACCAAATACCAATTTTAATTGAACATTAATCAACATGTCCAACAAACAATATGAATTATATACCCCCACACATGGTCAGTAAGCATTTGACTTTACATAATAATGGTTTTAGAATACATACCCCCAGCTCATCAGTTCCTTTAGACAAAAGATCAATTGTGCAATTAAGATCATCCGTCAGTGACCCGCAATTCGATGCTAACAATCGTTGGATACTGCGTATCATTTTTTGTACGATAGTTTGAATGTATGTCAGTATGTGAAGTCAGTTCATAAATACCTATCATCGATTGAATTCAACAACCGTGGACTGTACGCAACCGAACAATTGATCTCGTCTTGTCACGGATTGTTTTTTAAGCACACTTCAGTTTGCTTAGTGATCAATTGATCGGTAGCTCATCATCATGATGGGGATGTGATGTACTTATATATTGTGGTCGTGCAGGATGTTTGGGACATGGCCGATGGCATTACTGACGCCACACAAGAGCGAGGTGGTAATCCAAGGACCCGTCTGCGATTCCTCCCAAGTCATTGGGTGGCATCTCAACAAAATGAAGGACACCACCACGAAAAGGGAAGTAATAGTAGAAGAAGAACCTCCGAAAATCCATGTTTCTGGGTTTGCATTCAACAGCTCAATCCTCTGGGACCCTGAAAGATGGGGCCGTCCTTCTTCCTCGCAGCGCACCTCCCAGGTAATTTAAAATCCATCGATTCATCGTGATTGTTATCGCGTCGGATGTCTATAAACATACGCGCGCGATGATATATATAAAACGTTCGGTGTCGTTGAATTTTGCAGAATTCGATCAAGTTTGTGAAGGAAGCGGCTTTGGATGTGGAAGGAGAGACCAAACTGAAGGGAATTCCAGCGCAGGAATGCTCCAAGATAATGGTGTGGCGTCTTCGGCTCCCTGCTACTGCTACTACAAAAAATGTTGTGCCATCTTCTTCTTCTTCAGATAGCAATTAGCAACATCCTGTCCCAATAAGCAAACCACTCATTGTACCCAACCCTAGGGAGATTTTAATTTTTCAACGGTTTTACCTCTCTTTGATGGGAGTACCTACGGCGTAAGGTTATAAATAACCAATTCTTTCCTCGAGCACTTCTACTATGCTATATAGCATTGGTGCTTTAATGTACAACTCAAAGTTGTACCATAACATTAAATGTATAAGTTTAGGTTGTACCATAAAACAATTTATACCATTATGTTATGGTACAACTTTACAACTTGAAGTTGTACCATCACATAAAGGTACAAGTTTAAGTTGTACCATAAAAGAATTTGTACAAAAAGTATAGGTACAATCCAAAGTTGTACCATAACGTAAATGTACAATTTTAAATTGTACCATAAAGGCGAAAACCTATAGCACCAATACTATATAGCATTGTAAAATTTCTCTTCTTTCCTCTTCATTATTGATATGGAATATAGAGAGATTGAGAATCACATGTAAATTGGACTTTACGGAATTGAAATCAGGTAACATTGATCTCATCCTATTCTATCTAGGTATTAATTCAGATTAATTTGGTTTGATGTGGATGAATCGTCATTGAATCAACTAGCTTTGAACCCGGCCGTTGGCCGGTTGGTTACCATTTATATATTTTTTTATAATAAAAAACTTATCAACGTCAGGGCCAGCAACAATAAAAAGGAATAGTATATAAATCACTACTATCCTAAATTCCTAATGAATATTATTACATTGATACTAATTAAAAATCATCATACTTAAACTGTTCTTGTATACATTTTTCAAAAGATATTAGTGATGTTTCATGTATCCAAATATAATTTTATGTCACACAATTTTAGGTTTATGAGAGATTAACTGGTATGTATTGAGTAATTTCTCAATTAAACACTCAATAATTTTTTAATAATGTTAAGTCATTGACATATGCAATACACGTTTCTAAATGAAGACATTAAATACTTAATAAAAATATTAATTTTTGGCTAAATTTATAGTATACTATTTGTCATCATTCACATGATAGTTCATCTATCAAAGCTTGACAGATATCTGATAATACTATTATGCATGAAATTCTCATACCTACCGTGAAGTTTTACATTTTTTCTCACGTTGAAATGATGATTTCTGAAGTCCCGCTGCATGCTTATATGTGAAAATTCATGAACCGAATAACTCAATATCTTCAATTGTACAATATAGATCAATCCACAACGTACGATATTCGAGCCAAGGTTTAACTAATAATTCTTAACAAAAATAGTATGAAGTGTATTAACCAATTTTTTAGTAACCTACCATACCGTCTGATCAAACGGAAATACCGGATATCATATTCAAAATGGTAGATAATTTTAGCTATATGACACGGTTGAACCTTACCGGCTGGTTGAATGGAAAAATGAGATATCAAACTCCAAACAGTATGTGATTTTAGTGATATGAAATGATTGAACCATATTTTTAGTAGAAAATACCTTATCACATAATTTTTATATAACTTTTAATACAATTTTACAATTATTAATATTAACCGGACAAACAAAATACAATGAGTAAACACAACAAAACTGGAACAATTGTACATGTATTAAAAAAAGCACGTAAAGTTCTGTAAAAAAAAACAAAGGAAAATAATAAATATAGAAAACTACCGCAATTACAAATGCAAATGCGAAAATAAAATAAAAAAAGAAATGGAAATTCCGCAAGTTGCGGGGAGGCGTTTAGCGAGAAAACGCTTTATATTATTTAGAGATAGAGAAGAGATAAAGAAGATATAAATCATTCATATGATAAACAAAAACACAATGAAAATTATATTAGGGCCATCTCTTCTTCAAAATAACTAATTTCACGCCCAATTTGTTTCCAAGCCTTGTAAGAAAAATCAGTCCAAGGCAAATGAAAGGCTTGGAACCTTAAGGAATCTCTGCATTATTAATGAAAAATAGAATAATTTATGATTCTAGATAAATGATTCTTTGAATTCATGTATTCTGGAGAATCCATCATTTTTTTTCTTCCTAAAACTTTATTCAATACATGCATTTGAGGTGGACCCTCAAATCTTATATTACCCACAATCACTTATTTTAAATCTCAGCAAAAATGTGAGATTCTTCTTTTGAGATTGTGAGCTTTAATTTGTTCCACTTTTAGCTCATGAAATGATTTTTTATTTTCTTTAAATTTTTTGAATAGCTACAAACATACAAGACATTCTTCCAATCATCTTAATTCTTACAATCTTTGTATTTATAATACATGTATTCATCAAATACACATATTTGAAGAGTCTTAGCTTCCAAACGACCCTTTAATTTAGAGAATCATGAATCAGTAATCCGGCTAGTATTTAGGAGCAATCAATACCTTAGTGAGTTCCCAACTTGTAATTAGTCTAACCTTTGTTTAGTTTGTAGAGTAGTTTAGTTGTTTACTCCGAATATGATTTGGTCAGATAATAAACTAAAACTGAGTAATAATAAATGGCTAAATTGCAAGTTTGGTCACTTGAATTACTAGTAAATTTCACGTTAGTCACTAGAATTACTTAATTCCATCCGTAGTCACTTAAATTAGGTTAACAGTTCAAGTTTGGTCACTGACCGTTAGTCTCCGTTAACTTTTGCTGATATGGAGGTCAAATCTTACAGTTGACCGTTAAATGAGTGACGTGACAATTAAAAAATAATAAAAATAATTGTTTTTTATTTTCCATCTAATATTATAAATTAAAAAAATATCTAATTCTTTTAATTATTATTTTTCACCGTCGCATGAATCGTCCTTATCGTCTCCGCCGCTAACTTCGCCGGCGTCACAATTCTACTACCCACCGTCCTCCAACACTCCGATTCCTCCTCCGCCACCAACCTCCTCTCCGGCTCCAACCCTTCACACGGCATCATCCTCGCCCCCGACCCCAACCCTGCCACGATGGAGACGGTGATAATGGATGGGGATCTGAAGGGAAAATCAAATCTGACATGGAATTGCTTTTGAAATCGAAGCAGTACTACTACTGCCTCGGCCACGTCTGGAAGTGGAGCTACCTCCTCCACGCCGTAATTTGTTCGCCGCTCTTCAAATCGATGCCCTGGGAGAGGGGATCTGCCGTCTTGATCGAAATCAGGCTGTCGATGTCGAACCCGATGTGGTTCTCGTTCGGGTCGCTGAAGTGGAAATCGACCCGGGTATCAAACTCCACCACGACGAACTTGTTCTTGGTCAACTGGGAGGCATAGACCAGGTCGAGGTAGCCGCCGGATTGTTGAGAGTCCTGATGATTAAAGGAGAGATCGATAATCAAAGCCCGGCTTGTGCACAAGTAAAAAAAGTGAAACGGTAGAAAAGAACAGAAAAAACGAAAGTACCCCCCAGGCTGAGGTCGAACCCTTTCATCTTTTTTCTAATTTATAAAAATTAACCGGAAAATAAAAATTAATTATATTTATTAATTTTTAATTGTCACGTCACTTATTTAACGGTCAACTATAAGAGTTGACCGCCACATCAGCAAAAGTTAACGGAGACTAACGCTAGTGACCAAACTTGAACTGTTAACCTAATTTAAGTGAATACAGATGGAATAAAGTATTTCTAGTGGCTAACTTGAAATTTACTAGTAGTTCAAGTGACCAAACTTGCATTTAGCCAATAATAAATCTAGAGACTCGTGACTTTGATATTTTATTACTTGTGCCACTATAATACAATACCTTCCATTGGTTACACTTGGCTTGTGTTAGTAGCGTAGTTTGTAGCGCCCACGAACCTGGAGTTTTTTTGACTATGTAACTCATGGTTTTGGTATATCTTATTTTGATTTTATCTACCTTTTCTGTTTGATTTAATTGTTTGGTTTGTTGTCGATGTGATTTCGTATGTAAGAGGAGAACTATCTTCAAAGGACAAATCCTCAAACCTGACTTCAAGGATGGATGAGACTGGGCACGATAGTCCCTCACGATCGATCATTAATCAATCAAACTGCGTCCAATTCCTTATAGGTGTCCATAGGGTCCATATCGTTACCTATTAGTTCTGGTAAATGTCAGGCATGTGGTATGAATAAACATAGCGGTGTCGGTGATCAAACAACTGATATGCTACCAAGATCAAGGTTGCGAGTTATGATCGTGAAGCTTGCCTATGCAACGCCTCACCTCGTGTTTTCTTCACCTACCAGTAGAGTAGATTTTGTTCATGCACTGCTTTTTCCTTTTATTTCGTAAAACCAATGGGAATTTTAACTCCGGAGGCACTTCAAAAACCACATTCTCGTTTTCAAACATATAGAACTCATCTCTCACCACATGAGTAAGTGGTTGTGAGAGACTCTATAAAATACAATCATGTACTTGGACCTAGTAAATTTGCATACATGTATTACCCACTATCAGTGCCCCTGGGGTTGATTTCCTCTTGAGTTCTTTGCTTTTAAAACAATATTTCAGAAAATAAAATAAAAGACTCGACGAGGAAAAGGGAAAAGACATTGCATAAGCAAGCTCCCCCTAGGCTACATATACATCGTCCATTTCAGTTAACTTTGTTATTTTTAGTTTGCAACTATAACTATTAACAAATAATATAATAGTATTTTTCTAATCCTTTTAATTCTTATTCCACACCCACCAATTCTCCGACCCTCCTTCAATAACTCATAGCTTCACCCCGAACTTCGTTTTCGTTGCATCGACGCCTCACCCCAAGCCCTATCATCGACGCCCACTCCTTGTCCGCTAGAAAACCCTCTAACTCTGAATTCTCCCACCTTCTCTAATGTCGCAACCTCGCCAGCTCCTCTCACCATGAAATCCCACCAATTTCTTATTCCCTTCATAGAAAGTCCTCTGTAGCGGCGCCTTCTTCGATGCAACGACACAGTTGTTATCGTCGTCGACGAACTAGGAGGTTAGAGTTGCGAGTAGTGATAAGGGTGCATTCCCTCCTTGCTGTGCTTCTTAAATTTCTCCTTCTTGGACAAAAATAGTTTCATTTTGCTCTCTGGTTATATACGCTTCAAACAACGCAGGCGACACATAGCAAAGTGGGGGAGTATTTTCAACTAACACGCGAGGTCAAAATGACATCAATTTTTGGCACCACGCAACATCACTCACTAGATTCTTCAAGCTCAGTGTCGAGGAGCTCCAAAAAAGCAATGTTATTTTGTGTGTGTGTGTGTGTGTTTGTCTTCTTTCCCGATGTTTCTTTTTTAAGTTGAGGAAAAATGCTTTCAGGCAAGGAAGGAGGAAAGTTGTGTAGAAAATATTTTATCATCGAGCACAGGCAAAATTGAAGTTCGATGGAGGACAGTGACAGAGCGATGTTGATGTATCGATTAAATTAAAAATATAGTATAGATAAGTCATAATTGGTGTGTGGGAGAGGAAAATAAAAATTATTTTTATTATTTTCAACAGTTTTAATTGTGAGGTGGAAATTAAAAAAATATTGTTATTTTATTTTTTTATTTATTATCGATAAGTCACTCATTTAACGGTCAATTATGTTAATTGACCACAACGTAAAATAAAATTTAAAAAAACAGATTGTGAATCATCATATATAAAATGAGAATTTAAAGTTAGTAACCTTGCAATTGAAAATTTCCCTTGACAAATATGAAACAAAATTCTAAACATAGTGACCGAATGTGCCCTTCAAAATCAATGTATCATATCTTATCATAGACAAATGCATAACTGGTTATCCACCTTACCTTTACTCTTGGGGACAAGTTGGAAAAGATGGTGGCCCACATACATGGAATTTGGAACCTAATCCAATAATGGGATGAGTTGTTAATGAATTGGGTCATGGAGGCTACTCAATCACACTTTAATTATATCTTAACACAAAATAATAATAATCTAAATTTAATGTGATTGACAATAATATATATCTACAAAAATTTCCCAGCGCGTTCCAGTTGCTAGTTGTAAGGTCTCAACTCTCAATACATTATTGAGCTGGATTATTTTGAATTACGCCCATGTCTTCCAATGCAATCAAAGAAGTTTAAACTCTCTATAACCTCGAAGTTAATTAATGGAGCTAAATTGTTGTGTAAGCAAAGCAAAACGCTGATAATGAATCATCTTTTTTTATTCTAGAGAGGAATTTTTATCTTAATACTGTGGTTCTTCAAGTTAATACGTTTTTCAAGCATAGCTAGTGTGGTTGTTAAATGATAGAGTGGGCATGTGGATTTGGTATGACAATTGGATGCATGTTAGGTCAGATGATAGAAAGGACAGTTGATGATTTGGGGCCACTTCCAACGGCTATTTTAACACCACAAAACAAATACAATCTTCTATTGTCGCATTGCACCGCCAAAACAAACATTGAATTTAGTTTAATGAATGCTATTATCTATTCAACGGGGGTAAAAAATGCTATTATCTATTTACTACCACAAAAAAAAAAAAAAAAAAAACTTGGGATGGGGCCTCAACGCCGAACCCCTTAATTGATTTGTTTCGGTTAATACTTAGGATGCGCCTACGGTCACATGCATGTCACCGTGACTTGCACTTTTCAGTCGATCTCAGTTAAGATTAGGTTGATCTCATATAGGATTAGGTCGACCTCATTAGGTCGACCTAATCGGTTGTTTCAGTGTAAAAACAGTTTCATGGTGCGGACTTTGGAGATTCATATCTTACCATTGGCTTGATGGAAATTAGATATTAATGGCTTGTTTTGAAGCTGGAGTGTCCCTCTACACATTGAAGTGCTTGAGAGCTCAATAGGAAGTCCAGAAGACCATTTTTGAACTTGATAAAAGGCTATGCCAAAACTGGGAAACTGGCTGAAAATGGCCAAGTCTAGGAATGTGTTTGTGAAGCCTACTTTGGAGCTCAATTCGAGAAGCATGGATGCGAGTCGAGTCCAGGGGCCTCTACCACGTTAAATTAGGTATGTTTTTATACAAAGTCAAGTCATTGGATCAAAGATTAGATATCTGTAAGTCTTCAAACAAAAGGGTCAAAGTTGTTACGAAGACTGTTTTTCTGGCAAACTTCGAGCACAAGCAAGCTGCCAGAAAAACAGCATTCGTAGCAACTTCGACCCTTTTGTTTGAAGGCTTACAGATATCCAATCTTTCATCCAATGCCTTGACTTTGTATAAAATTATACCTAATTAACGTGGTAGAGACCCCTGGACTCGATTCGCATCCATGCTTCTCGAATTGAGTTCCAAAGTAGGCTTCACAAACACGTTCCCAGACTTAGCCATTTTCAGGCAGTTTCCAAGTTTTGGCATAACCTTTTGATCAGGTTAAAAAATGGTGTTCTGGACTTCTTATTGAGCTCCCAAGTACTTTAATGTGTAGAGGGACACTTCAGCATCAAAACAAGTCATTGATCTCCAATTTCCATCTAGCCAATTGTAAGATATGAATCTCTAAAGTAGGCACCATGAAACTGTTTTTACACTGAAACAACAGATTATGTCGACCTAATTCTATATGAGGTCGACCGTGACATGCATGTCACCGTAGCAAAGTTCTAATACTTAATATCAATATATGGCTGTTATAAAAAAAATATCAATATGGCTACAACTTTATACAAATGAATAAATTTGGCCACAACTATTTCAATTTTAAAAATAGGGACTTCCTACCATGCCTTGAAGTTACTATAACTTGAACTTTTTGACCTGCTATAACAGGTTTTATAGGTCGCATTACGTAAAATTAATATTTATTACGTAACAATTACGTAATGCTTGTTAGTCTTACATAAGGTTTCCGTAACACCTTATCATTTCACGTAACGCTAGGTAAATATTCATTACGTAAAAGCATTGTCTATTACATAAGGTTTCCGTAATGACATTTTACAACGCTAGGTTATTTACCAAAACCTGAACTCAAGTTTGGTTCGAGTTTTACTTCAACTTGACTCATTAATAAACTCACCAGCTCAACTCATCGATAAGTTCACGAGCTTGACTTGAGCTCAACTTATTATGAGTCTAGAATGGTTGAACTGCAAAAATAAAATCTAAAACAAGAACAATATTCAATTTTTCATCACTAATTGATCCCATATTTTCATACTAAGTTATATCATGTTATTTAGTAATTACTATCTAAGGAATCCATAATACATAATTTCTATATCAAATTATAAATGAGATATATATGTTTATGTACCCAAAGTCTTAAACCATAATATGTTATGAGATATATAATCTAACAAAATTTATGAACTATATATCGGTTTGCTTATAAGTTATACATCGTCCAAGCTTACTCGTTGACACACTATCAAGCTATTTTATAAGCCTCAAAATGAGTCATTCACCCGTTCAGTTTAACAAGTAACACAATGAGTTGGCTCGCTAAACAAGCTTTTATTTTAGCTCAGCACATTAATAAATGACCTGAGTGTCAACCAAATGTTTTTGAATATCATGTCGAGCCACTCAAAAGTTGATCAGCTCATTTGCAACCCTAATCACAAGTCAGACTGGATTTTTTTTTGTTTTTTTGTTTTGTTCTCCTATGCCATGTGGAGGCATGTAGCGTGGTTAATTACTAGAAAAGAAAAGTTGTCCAAGTTTAAGGATTAAGTGAGGCAAAGGGAGGAAAGAAAAGAAAATTATCTCCCTTCCCCCACCCTTGTAAGTGACATTAGCAAAAGCTGCTTAACTAAGATTTAATAATTAGAGACGACTGCAAGTAGAACATAAACATAATCACACACTCACATGGCCATTTGTTAGAAATTTAATGCGGAAGGAAGGCGAAAAGTTAAAGCGAATAAAATACAAGTGATTCAGAAAAAGCTGAAAACCATTGGTATTAGTTACCCAATTATCTTCTGTGAACTGACTTCTTCCACCATTGACTGGTTAGACCACATTTTTTTTTACAATCAACTTTCAGGTTAAAAAGTCCTTTTCATTGTTTAACGAATTTCTGAACCACCCTACAAATCAAGGAATAAGCTCTCAAAATTGATTATCCCATTTATTCATTCATTAAAAGCAGAAGCAGAGAGGCCGTCTGCTGCTCCGGCGATTCCCTTGCCCTTCCGGCACCGGTTTCTGCCACTTTCCCTGCACTCTGTCAATGCTAAGTGGATCCCACTTGATTTTATTTCTCACCATTTTTTTCATTTGAAAATTGGAAGGGGGAGCTGAATGCTGATTGATGATGGGTAGTAAAGCGGGGAGATGAAGGAATTAGTGGGGCTCACAAACACTCTCTTTCTCACTCAGACTTGGCCAAAAAGACCAGCTGGGCTTGTGGGTCTCTCTCTCTGCTTCGCTCCCTTCTTCCTCCCATTTCACATTTCTTCATTCACCTTCTCTCCATATATTTGATTTCTTTTTCGGGGGTTCTTTAATCCAAAGGAAAGATCTGAAGCATCGTCTCTTTTTCCCCTCTTCTCTCTCTGTCTCATCGCATTTCTTACCAGCTTCTTCTTCCTCTTCCTCTTCCTCTTCCTCTTCTTATTCCTTTTCCTATCGGGGAAGAGAAAAGTGGGACGGGAGGCTCTCTGGAGGCCTACTAGAGAAAGTTGTGTCCGAGATCTGTCCCATTTCCGGCTCTCCACTCACTGGTATACTCTACTTATGTTCACTCTTTTCTCTCATTCCTTCATTTCTTGGGATGAAGCTTCTAAATCATGGACCCCAGCTGGGGCAAAACAAAGAAAAAATCGATTCTTTTGTTCGGTTAGCTGTTGCCTGTGCAGTTCCTTTTGTTGGGTATCTTTCCTTTTGCTGAGTACTGAGATGGGTTTTCTTTTTTTCCCCTGTTTGTGGTTTGTCGGTGGATGGCTGGGTTACTGTTTGGTTGCTGAGAAAATGGCAAGAAAAAATTGGGGGGATCGGGGTGAATCGCAATTTTGACACTTCAATTCAACATTTTTCTGTGCCTGGACTTCTGGCTAAACACTGGTTACTCCTGGCCGACAATTTCTGGGGGGGTTCAGAATTAGACACATTCAGCTAAAGTCAAACTGCTTTGGCATCTTTTGCTTCACCTATGGAGTTGTTATTTTGTGGGAAATCTGTAGATGTTAATTGATGTTTGAGTATGTTTGTTTTTAATAGATTTTAACTCTTTCTCTTGTATTTGTTGATTCACTTTCCGCCTGTTAATAAGATTTGGTCCAATCTGTGTTGGAACTTCAGTGTGTTTCCTTTGTTGGGTAATTGTAGAATTTCCAAAATTAATCCTCTCCTGATTTCCCTATGCAGAAGATTTTGGTTGAGGAATGATAAAGAAGTGATGGGAAGGAAAGGGAATTGGTTTTCTAGTGTGAAGAAAGCACTCAGCCCTGACTCCAAGGAGAAGAAAGATCAGGTTTTTACCCTCAAAACAATGTTGTATGTTAAACTGTGCGTTCATTTCAGATTTGGGTCTTGATATTAACACTTACTATATATGATCCCCACAGAGGTCAAGTAAATCCAAGAAGAAATGGTTTGCCAAGCAGAACCTGGATGCCGGTTCAGCTCCAGTGGCGAATGGGGCAGCAGACGCCCCACTTCCCCCACTTCCTCCTCAACCAGATGAGGAGGTGAAAGTACTAGAGACCACAATTGAAGTGAACAATCATGGCTACACTTTGCCAGTTGCTGCTGCTGAGCCACCTGAGCCTGCAACTCCTGTTGTTGTTCAAACAACCACTATGGAAGTGGTTCGGAAAGCTAATAAATTTGCTGGGAAATCAAAGGAGGAAGCAGCAGCAATCAGGATTCAAACTGCATTTCGTGGGTATCTGGTAATCTCTCTAGTCATTATGTACTGTTTTATGGTTTCTTTGTTTCCATATCGAAATTTATGATGAAGTTTTGTTGCGTCTTGTGTTTTCTTAGGCTAGGAGAGCACTTAGGGCTTTAAGAGGATTGGTGAGGCTGAAAATGCTGATGGGAGGTCCCACTGTAAAGAGGCAAGCTGTCCACACGCTCAAGTGCATGCAAACCCTAGCTCGAGTACAGACTCAAATCCATACCAGGAGAGTCAGAATGTCTGAAGAAAACCAGGCTCTCCAGAGACAACTTTTGCAGAAACACGCCAGAGAGCTCGAGAGCTTGCGGGTTCGTTTTTTGCTCTTTCACTTTCTAATCGACGATGTGTTTGGTTTTGCATATTTTTTAATTGAGAGGTGTAGTTGAAAAACATTGTTTTGTTCAAAGTCTTTGTGCAAGGTGTTACTGCCAATATTATTTATCAACTGCATATGAATGAATACATTGGCTGTTGATCCTTTGTTGTGCTAACCTAACCAATGCGACACTATCGTAACAGATGAAAGAGGGATGGGATGATAGCGTGCAGTCAAAGGAGCAGGTAGAGAGCAACATGCTAAGCAAGTACGAGGCAACCATGAGAAGGGAAAGAGCCCTGGCTTATGCATTCTCTCATCAGGTAATCAATCATTCCTTCTCATTTCTTTTTCCCAGAGCAAGAGCCAGTTTAGGGTTGATGATCGAACCAACCTCACCGTGACCAATCTCTATGCAGCAAACCTTGAAGAACCCTACTAGACCAGCTGCAGGCATGTTCATGACACCTGGCAATCCTTCCTGGGGCTGGAGCTGGTTGGAAAGATGGATGTCAGCTCATCCTTGGGAAACAAGGAACGCTACTACTGATAAAGATCCCAACAATGATCAAGCTTCTGTGAAGAGTGGAAACAACCGAAGCTTGGTTGGTGGAGAAATCAGCAAAGCTTATGCCCGTTATCAGCTCAACTCTGATAAACTCTCCCCTGGAGATCATCAAATGAGTACAAATTCCCCTTCAGCTACATCAAAGCCAGTTTCTTCGGTTGCGAGAAAACTCAAGTCAGCAAGTCCCAGGAGCAGCATTGGTGGCCCAGATGAAGACACCAGAAGCATGGTTAGTTTCCAGTCTAACAGAAGGCACAGCATTGCAGGATCATCTGTGAGGGACGATGAAAGCTTGGCCTCACTTCCAAGCTATATGGTGCCCACACAGTCTGCAAAAGCTAAGTCCAGGCTCCAGAGTCCATTAGGGCTAGGAGGAGCAGAGAGGAATGGGACTACACCTCCAGAAAAGGAGAAAGGAGCCTTGGCATCTGCAAAGAAGAAGCTTGCTTACCCGCCTTCGTCGCCTGCCAGGCCTAGGCGCCATTCTGGTCCTCCCAAGGTGGATACCAGCTTGATTAAGGCTGGAAATGCGGTGGTGGCAAATGGAGACATGTAGCCGCCATCCAGAGTTTGATTTGAAAGATGACAAGGTAGTGGAGTTGATCTTCTCGCTATCTCTTGAAGAAGTGGAAGGAAGTAGGAAATGAAAAATAAGTGTTTGAAGTTTCATACTACTATTTTGTTCCTTTTTCTTAATGGGTTGTTTCTCAAAATCTTTCTGTGGTTTCTTTCAGTGTTGAAAGTGGTTGTTATTATTCATTCATTTGCATCTGCAGGAGATGACATGATGTGGTTCACTTCATTTGTTGGGGGTTGGCGGGGCGTGGGATTCACTTGTTTTATTTATTTATTTATTTAAAGTGAGGGGCTTGTAAAACCTTTGTAATGTTGAAAGGTGATTGCATGTTTGGATTAATATCTTTTATTTATGAACTTGCAACCACTTTGTTTTCCATTTACCAATATGATACCCAACTATTAAAAAAATACTATTTTTAGCACGCATTATTTACAATGCAATGATACATATCTTAAACTACAAGCTAAAGTTCCAACTTTATTTAGAGACCTAAATGTTTTGTTGACTGTTAAAATTAATAGGTGACTTAATCGTAATGAAATATGTGTTAGACTATAATGACATGATGTTTACATCTTAGCTATAAGTTGCCACTTAATAAATTAAAAAGAAAAGAAAATAAATTGTTGTAATTTTATTTGTCTAATATATTTTCTTTCAAATAAGTATAAATAATATAATAATAAAAAACACTACGACTTACCATTGTCCTTCTCGATGGGAGATGATAGGGTGACAACAATCATTATGGTTTTAGGGTGACAACACCTGTTATCCAATGAATATGAAGTTAAGATTGTGCTTACTTTTTAATAAGTTAGGTTGACTCAATTTAAATTTTACGCAGTGTAAAATTCATAAAAGGGCATGATAATCATTTTGAATGTTATGTTTAAAAGATTGGCTAAATTACACATTTGGTCACTCGAATTACATAAACATTTCACATTTGCCACCCAAATTTATTTTCTTTCAATTTAACCACTCACTTTATGAATCGTTTCACCGTTGGTCACCCTCCATCAGTCTCCGTCAGACTCCGTTAACGCCGTCAGATTTTTGATGACGTGGCAAACGGAAGTGCTGACTGGGCTGACAGAGAGGCTAAAAATACGGGTTTGACTGCCTAGTCAGCCACATACCCGACCCAGCAACTTAATTGACCCCTTTTTTTTGTATTTTATTTTTCTTTTCTTTTATTTTTATTGGAAAAGGCTGAAAAGTGAAAAGTGAAAACGATCGGGCAGTAGAAGGGGTTTTTCACTTCTCTTCTCTTCGACTTCGACTTCTCTTCGACTTCTCTTCTCTGCGTTTTTCACCCGAGGCGGCGACGTCGATCAGGGGAGAAGGGGAGACGCCGGTCGGAGGTGGAGGTAAGGCCGCCGCAGTGGAGGCGCTCGATCGGGCGGCGGCGCACCAGCCACGACGACGATTGGCGGCGCTCCGTCGCAGAGTTGCTCCGAACTGGGAATGAAATCCAAACCCCACAATGTTAAGAGATCGTTCAATAACCCCAGTATCAAATAGATCAATTTGCATCTGAAACATTTTTTTTATGAAGAATTTGCATCTGAAACATAAGGATTCTCAAGCGGATGCATGACAAACCCCAAACACAGATAAACATGTACCCCAACAATTTGAACGGCGAGAAGAAACAGACCCACACATACAAGCCCATTGAAAACCCTAAAACGAACGATATCACATACATTCGCAATTCTTGGTGGCTAATCCATGGGTGTATAATTTGAGCACATCAGCAATCAAAATTTCCCCCAGCAGATCCAAGATCGAATCGCAGTCCATGAAGGTTAGCCTACCCTTCCTACCCCTATCATCAGCGGTCCTTTTCAACCGGATACCGCACAGTAACTTTACAACAACGCCATTTCCGAAGCTAGTGGATCCATCTGAATCCCAGCATTTAGATTAACGGAGCGCCGCCAATCGTCGTCGTGGCTATGTAGATTGACGGAGCGCCGCCAATCGTCGTCGTGGCTGGTGCGCCGCCGCCCGATCGAGCGCCTCCACTGCGGCGGCCTTACCTCCACCTCCGACCGGCGTCTCCCCTTCTCCCCTGATCGACGTCGCCGCCTCGGGTGAAAAACGCAGAGAAGAGAAGTCGAAGAGAAGTCGAAGAGAAGAGAAGTGAAAAACCCCTTCTACTGCCCGATCGTTTTCACTTTTCACTTTTCAGCTTTTTCCAATAAAAATAAAAGAAAAGAAAAATAAAATACAAAAAAAGGGGTCAATTAAGTTGTTGGGTCGGGTATGTGGCTGACTAGGCAGTCAAACCCGTATTTTTTAGCCTCTCTGTCAGCCCAGTCAGCACTTCCGTTTGCCACGTCATCAAAAATCTGACGGCGTTAACGGAGTCTGACGGAGGGTGACCAACGGTGAAACGATTCGTAAAGTGAGTGGTTAAATTGAAAGAAAATTAATTTGGGTGGCAAACGTGAAATGTTTATGTAATTCGAGTGACCAAATGTGTAATTTAGCCTTAAAAGATTTATTCTGAGGTGGCGAAGATGAAGGGAGGAATAGTAGAGCGAAAGCTTTGGAGAGCAAGCTAAATCTTTTTGACGCTTCGTTTCTCATTGATTTCGAGTGTCTTCCCCTTTGTCCATGGACAGTGGAATGGAGGAAGGAGGTGCACGATCGAAGAAGGGGATAAGTGAAGATCTATTTTAGATTTTAGGGATTTAATTTGTCTGTGCCGGTTCAAAAGTCAGGTATTGTTTGGTTAGAGGGTTGGGTACTTGGGTTGTTCCAGATGATATGGCGGATCTTAGTGACGTGGTGGGTCGGGTATCACTATTTTCGGGTTAAATATGGCTGATTAGACGATTATGTCCTTTATGTCAGCACTTAATGGACTTCGTTAACGGAGATGGACGTTGACTAACGGAGAGTGACCTAACGTGAATGGTTTCACTAAACTAAGTGACCACCAACGGATTTAAATATTTTCAGTGACCAAACATGAATTTTTTTTTTGTAATATAAGTGACCAACAATGAAATTAATCCCTTATTTTTGTAATTTGTCACTTATGTAACGTCGATATATGTGTAATTGTTAATATATTGGTTGAAGTTATAAAGAAAAATATTATTTATAAAATATGTTAACAATACCCATACCCGATCAGATTTCAGATATTCATGATTATTTATAAATAATCATGAATATCCGAAATCTGATCGGGTATGGGTATTGTTAACATATTTGTTGTGAAGGCATAAATTTGCTTCTACTAGTGGTTTTTCCTATACGTGGGGAAGAAGTATGTTTAGGGAAGTGGGGAAAAGAGGTGGGTCGCTAATGCACTATTTATAATTTTGATTTCTAGAAAAATCCTACAACAAAAGAAAAACTGCTCCCGTTTTGGCCTTTCTGAAGGCGGTTCATTCGGGTCTATAAAAACCCTAAACCAACCAAATCCGCATCCCACCCAAACACGCACCAAAAGGAGAAGAAAAAAATCGATCCTGCCCGGAATTACAATCTCTTCGAGCTCTCCGATTATTTTCAGAAATGGTGAGCCAACTCTTTCACTAGCTCTATCTCCACGAATTCTCTTTCTTCTTTCGCATTACATATTCGCCTTAAGATAGCTAAAGCTCTCCGCTGCCTCCATGGGGCAGAGCGTCGATCTTCGCATTCGTAATATGTTTGTTGTCCTCCCGATTAGGGTTTCCGTTCTTATGCTTTCCTAGATTGGAATTAGCCTGCCGCACCGCCAAGCAGTTTCCTGGATGAAGGCCAGGGGTTATTTTAGATTGATTCTTAAGGAGATTTGTCAAGTTTCTGCGTGCCTGTTAGCTAAGCTTCCCCTGCCCTTATAGCCTCTGATGAAACAACAGACCTAGCAGTGATGAGGAGATGAACTTTTTTCGTTGGGTCGCTGTTTTCTTTCGTGGTCTTCGCGGTTTAATGATTTGCTATGGTTCTGTTTTGCAACAGGCTACACCTTTTATAGCGGGATGTACCGTTGCTGCAGCTGCTTATGGTGCCAGGACCATGATCAGGGCTTGGCAAGCTATGAAGACAAGGCCGCGTGCATTCTACAAAGGTGGTTTTCAATCTACCATGACAAAGAGGGAAGCAGCCCTCATACTTGGAGTAAGGTACTGTGTTAACTCTTAGCTGAAAGTGCATGTACAGCTCTCATTAGGATGAACTTTGTAATGAATGTAGTATCTTCTGCTAATCTGATGAACTTCTATGCCGAAACCACGATGAAGTGAACTATTTGTCATTGAGAAGTCTGCTAATAGTCTGCTAATAGTTCCGTTTGGCCTTTAGAGGCTGACTGTGTAGCACACTTATGGCGGGCGTACATGTTTGTGGATTGAAGTTTGGGAACGTGATGTTGATCATTGGAATATGAGAAGATACTTTGGGGTCCCTTGTTATTATGTTATATGTTGCATCTTTGAGCTATTGCATAAATGGGCCAGCTGAGATGGTTGGATTGGACGTGGTGTTGATTGATGCATTCGTTAGCTGAATAGACAGCTATTTGCTGAGATGATTGTCATGCTGCTATATGTCCCTTGTGTAGGGCTTCCATATTCGGTCAATTGAGTTACCCACGCAGAAACTTTGTCTCAAAGTACTAAGTGGGTTGTTTTGGTTAAGGTGTTTGTGGTGCATCATTGTCTTGTTTGCATGTGTGTGCTATGTGAAGGAGCTGTTCTTGTTCTGTGTTCATAGTATCGATGCTATTCGCTTCATCTCAACTAGGGATGGCAATTTACCCACCCATGGGTAATTTTGCCCAAACCCAAGTAGACCCATTTATTATGGGTAGGGTTTGGGTGATGTGTGTATGGGTTTGGGTTAGATATGGATATTATCTAAATGGGTATGGGTTGGATATGGATATCCATTTACTTGAGAGTGTTTTAACTACACATGCAAAAATTGGACTTATTTGTAAAACTTGAAAATTTTAGGTACCAAAATGTAAGACAAAAAAAATTTAGGTACCAAAACGTAATTTTCCATCGATATTTTGAGGACTTATATGCAAAAAAAATTAAATTTAGGTACTAAATATGCATATCTATTAAGTTTAGGTACCAAACTGTAATTTGTATTTGGGCATGGGTACAAACCCAAATCCAACCCAAAGTAAATGGGTATGGGTACAAACCCATTAAACTTTACCCATATCCATATATTTGGATTTCATACCCAACCCAATTGGATTGGATAGTAAAATACCCATGGGTATGGGCAAAATTGCCATCCCTAATCTCAACGTATCACCATTCGTTACTACAGGTAGCCTTGGATTTGCCTTTGGTAAGCTAGCTAACAAACTGTACCTTCATTGTTGCCCTTCCAAAACAGGGAAAGTACTCCCGTCAAAGATGTGAAGGATGCTTATAAGAGGGTCATGAAAGCGAATCATCCAGATCAAGGTGGCAGCGGCTACATAACAAACAAAGTAAATGAAGCCAAGAACATCTTGATTGGTGGCAAAAATTCGGGCTCTGCTTTCTGAGAGGCGCACTTTCAATACCCCTCCCCGTACTTGGCACACGAGACGGATTCTTATAACCATTGGAAGAGTTTCGTTGTTAAACGTACTTGCAGGTTGCAGCATCGCACATGAGAACTGCAGATCATTTTTCACCGTGTTCAACTTTTTTGCTTCGCATTCTTGTAATTGGAGGGACTATAGAAATGTTGGGTCCCTGTCATTGTGTTCCCCTCACATCAGCTTCATCATCTGTGTAAGTAAATGGAGCCCCGAGATCGGGTAGTGAGTTGTTGTTATAACAGAATGGTGGGTGATGGATATAGCCTGTAGTTAACCCCAGATAATCTTTGAAATGGATTAATGGGTGATTGATGTGCATTGTGTGTTTCGACGATAAAACCCGATAAAACCCGAAACTCGGCACATTTGAAATCCCTCCATCCGCTATCTTATTCATCCCTTTCTTCAAAGCAAGTGTAGAGTTCATCTAACTAGTTACTGACACGAAATTGAGTTTGATTTTTAGGCCAAACCAGTATGCTTGAGAGTTTAGACAAGTCTGCTTTTGCAGTTTCGTTATGGAAGAAATTGCCCAGACAATCGACAAGCAAAGCTGCTAATAATCATTCAACCTCCTGTCATAGAAATCATATCAATAGATTATAGCTCTTACTCCTCAATCGTCATTCGTTTTCTGGGGATGTCCGGTGACAAATTAGCAAAACTGAAATTTCCAAATCTCTCCTAGCTAGGATTCACCACCATTCAAAACGAGATATTTCAGGCAAATCCATCAGCAGATACATTTGGCACCATTGTTCTCAGCAAGCTCGTTGGAGCAGAACCTGTGATCTATAACTTTACTTACAAGTTACAACAAAGAAAGCCTCTAGTCAAAAGTAGTCAAGAGACTAATCAAAAGACCTAGTGACAGAGGTCTCGTTGTCAGTGGCTCCCAGTACAAAGGGAGATTCACTAGCTTCTTCATTCTCATCAAGAGGGCCAAGAGCATCCCCAAAAAGAGTTGAGAATATCCGACGATGGCATTCCTTGCAGAAGAAGAAATAAGAAAAATGGCCTTCATTCGGCAGCTTATGCAGCGTTGCTCCTGGTATAACCCTGCTAATGTACTCTGCAGCTGAAGGCGGCACTACATGGTCATCCGCCCCCTGTTCACCGCCAAACACCGTTCAGATTAGAAAACTCGGAAATCTAAACCTTACTTGGACTGCAGTGGCGCTGCTCTGCATGAGATCATAGTATGGTTCTACAAACCTGCCATATGTGTATTGGGCCAAGGAATCCCACAAGCTCACACTCCGCCTCATTGAACATGGATCTTAGCCGAAGAAGCAGACCTCTCTTCTGACATCTCCTACGCACCTGTAGATCTGCCAGATTGAACCCCCAGTTTGAAGTCTGCAGCACAGCCTCTTCAATGAATGGCTTCACCCTCCCTTGGCGAACCGACTCCTCAACATCTCTATGCCAAAACTCTTGGAATGTTGGCTGGTTAACAAGAATTTCATCCTGCGAGCATCAAGCACATAATAGATGGAATATGAAGCTGGTCAAAAAAAAAATTACAGCAGTTCAGAATAGCCTTCGCATACGTGATTCTAGCATATTGTCATTCATAGAGAGGTATATTATCAAAGCAGATGCTTACATATTTCCAACCAAAAGACTCTAATAGAAAGGATTGGACATCATGAAAATATCCAGCACATACTCACCTTCCTGCCAAGTGGTTGAGACATCCACTTTTCAATCTGACCGTGATTTCCGGACAAGAAGCTGCGTCTGTAGAAATAGGGGAGGAAACTTGGGAATCTCCGCGCTAGAAAGTACATTAGCTTTCGTCTGGATGACCAATTTTCCCAAGTTCTGGTAGTCTCTTCCTTGGTCATGCTAGGCTCGTATGGATTTACCATCGGGGCAAACATCGCAGCACCTGCAAAAGTGCATGGAAAGATCATTCCAGGTTAGATCCTCATTTACGTGGGCAGCATATAATGTATCTAGGATAAAGCTGAACTGACTGAAGCATTCTAAGGAGATGATATGCACATTAGGTCGATAAACAGTTTTGCAAAATGGAAGGCGCCACGAAGACAAGATGTTCAAGATCATCATCCTAGAGTTTAGCAAATAGCAAGAGAACTAGAAGGATGCTAGTATATACTGGCAATGGAAAGCAAAGACCCCAAACTTGCTCATAAGTCCACGAAATGGGAAAAACTAGTATACCGGCAATCCGATGAGGGATATATGTGAGTGCAGCCCAAGAGTGCATGCTTCCAGTTGAGAAACCCAGTACCCAGAATTTGCCATCCAGACCAACTGCATCGGCCAAGTGAAGCATATCCTGTGCCGATGAGTTGAGGCTCCTGGCAGGATGAGGGTCACTCTCTCCAAAACCTGGAAGATCATATGTAATCAACCGAACCCCAAACTCTTCAAGCAGAGTTGTCTCCACACCAGAGAAACCTGTACCAGTATCAGAATCAAACGCTATTCTGAAACTAAGCAAAGACTTGCTTTTGATAAAAACACTGAACACCCTCGTTACCTCCAAGTCGAGAGGAAAGGAAACAATGTGGGGAAATAACAGAGAATCGCGCTCGGCTGGCTGCAACACCGTGCTCCAAGTACGCTATCTGTCTCCCGTCGGGAAGGCTAACGCGATTCGCACTAGGAGGATGTAATCGCACTTTCTTTACAATCGGGACTCCACTATCATCTCTAGTATTTACACCCAACGCTGCAAAAATCGTTGAGAAGCAGATCCAAAATCAGGAAACCAATGTAAATAAAAGCAGCCGCAGATCGAACAGAAATTAGGGTCGGGTCGAAATGCATACCGGAGACAGCGAGTAAGAAAACGAAGAATACGACGGGCCAGGCGTGTACCGGGTCGCGATCCTCGGGCAAGAAGCAGTCGTTCATGAACGCCAATCGACCCGAGGCTCGCGCAATTGGCTTCCCAAGCTTCTGAACCAGGAACGAATTCTCGTCCAGAAGATTCTGCTTAGCGATGTCCTTGCATCCTTTCCCCAAGTCCAGAAGCAATTCTCCCCAGGCCTTGGCGAACTCCGTCACCTGTTCCTTCAAGCTCTCCTCCGGCTTCTTCGCATCCGCCTCCGCCGCTTCTGCGGTGACCGGAGCAGGAGCAACATTGTACTCTCCGGCGCCAACAGCGTACTCCGTCGCGTTCGGATCAAACGCCATCTCCGCGTAGCGCATCCCGGAGTCCTCCATTAGAGTCGCTAGATCGTCGTGCCACGTGGCACGACCTCCTCTCACCTCCGCCATCGCGTGTGAAAATCTCTGGAACCGGTCCACACTGAGTGAGATTCTCAGTTAGTCTGCTGAAAAGCAACGAGAGAGGGTGTGTGTGAGAGAGAGAGAAAGAAGGAGAGAGAGTTCGAGGAAGAAGACTGTCACTTTACAGTCGCGAGTTTCAAGCCTTACATTGCTGAATAAAGAAATTCAAAACCCTAACCGACCATTGCCAACCCTTTTTTCCCCCTTTTGTTGCCGAATTCGAATCCATATCTGTTTGGAAGAGGAAAAAATAAAGGCAAAACGAACGGTGGTAACTGGTGAGATTAATGACTCTGGGTATGGCGTCCAACTGTCGCAATCTTTTTTCCGGATTTCAAAAGAATCATAGAACCCACATGGCAATGGCATAGAACGAAGGATCCAAAAACAATGCGCACTCTCTCGGCCTCATCATCATCATCATCATCATCAACTTCTTCTCTACCTGTGCCACCATTTTTGCGATTTCTTTATAAACCTTTGCTTGCCTACTTGACTGGCGGTTTTTTCTTCTTCCTGTGCGCGGAGAACGGTTGGCCGTCCGATGAAAGCCGACGGTTGGGATGCAGACCACGTTCTTCAACCGGTGCGGACACCTATAATAATTAGCGGGCAGCGGTGGCAGCGTACGGCGCTGGCTGCTGGTTTTGGTTGTCAGTCAGTAGGATATATCAATCAGCTGGATGCATGTGCACGGGAATGTCGTTTCCTGCTAATTGCTTTCTTATCTCAGCCGCTGAGTCATGTTTGATGCTCCCGATGTCGATACATGGAATTAGGTGAAGAACGAAAATAAGAGATTGCAGATTTGGCAAGAGGGCATTAGAGGTTTATACTCTATTTAGCGGGTTGTTGGGTTTTGGAGTGTAGAACAAGACGTTTTACTGTGTTGACTATTTTACTGGCGGATCCGGGGGCTCATTTGTTGAAGCTGCTAATGGGGTGTCCGTCAGGATTAGTGGTATCTTCGGTGGAGGCTTTACTGGCTTTTGAGCTTAACTGAGGCCAGATTTACAAGGGTTTGCTGCTCTGCTTCAATTTTCAGCATGGTTAGTTCATGGTTTTGATCTTTTTAAGGGGAAGAAATCATGATATTTCCCATGTCGTTCAGGTATCATAGGGCAGCCCATATCGTGGCAGGAAAGCCCTATTTTGTCAGACCTGCAAAGGTCTTTTCATTTTTCATTTGTGATTTGACCTGCAAAGGAAATGTATATTGTTATATACTTCGTATCTATTGTTCCCCTTTGGGGATATCTATGACAAAAAAAATAAAAAATAAAAATAAGAGATTGCAGATTTGGTAAGTTCGTCAAATATGATAATCTCAATCGTCGTCGTTGAATCAAAGCAATCTCCAGATGAAGACAAATCAGATTAAAGCACAACGATTAGTACTTCGCGGTCCTTTATATAGATGTTTTGTCTGGATTAAGAATGTAATTTGGTAATAGTGAGGTATAGGTCATATTACAAGAAGGGATTGGCATATTCAGAGGGAGAGGTTCTGAATTGTCAAGGTTCGATGTGATATGGGTTTTGGCTATCTCTATGTTGTTTCTTTTCATTTTTTTTACGCTTGATAGGATAAAACGAAATACAAAAGAGTCTCCTAGAAATCAGTAGGTACTGATACTAGGACGAGGATTGACCAATAGTTTGGGAACCTTGTTAAAATCGCATGTGTCGATCTCTTTTTTGCCTTCCTTCTTTTTCTTTCCAACGCTTTACTCTGTTTTCTTTGCTCGTTCTATGTTTTTCTCGTCTGATTCGGTAGAAACGGGAGAAGACAACATATTAGGCAACACTGAATGGGCTCTCTTTATGTCTATGTACTAAAGCCAACTTCGACGTAAAGTGTAGCCCCTTCTCTTTTCCAACTGAACGTGTTTTTGGACTCAAGCTTACAAAGACCCATAAATCTGCAGCATGAAGACGAGATAATATGTTAGATTCTCATCGTCTTCTTCTTTTAGTTGTTTCCCTTTTCCTTCTTTCCCTCTGCTCTCGTTTTTTTCAGAAAAAACCCCTAAAATCTTAAATCGATTTCAATTTGTATTAGAGCTCCCCCTTGAAGGAGCTCAATATTGCCAAGGGAGATCCGGTTATATGGCGTCTACCAGCTTTGGACATGATTCCTACAATCACCACCTGATCTTCACGAGTTCTAATAACATAGCATGGAAGAAAAGGATGAAAACTTTCCTCCGAGGTGTCGATGAAGAACTCTGGACTGTTGTTCATGAAGGACTTGTGGTGGTGAATGTTGATGCTCAACATCTCTGGTCGGCGGTTCAGAAGAAACGTGCACATCTCAATCAACGAGCTATGCACACTCTTGAGTCCGCCATGACTCCTAATGAGACGAACACGGTGGAGAATTGTGAAACCGCCTGAGATATTTGGAGATCGCTTGAAACTACACATGAAGGGGCCTCTAATGTCAAGGAGACCCGCATCGACCACCTCGTTCATGACTATGAAGATTTCTAGATGTTGGCAGGCAGGTGAGAGAATATACAACACACGCACTCCATATTTACTATTTTGATTAACAACTCAAGGAATTAGGAAAGACTTACTAAAGATTTAAGTACAAAAATTCTAAGGTTCCTGCCCAAGGAGTGATTGCCCAAATGCACAGCGATAGAAGCAGCTCGTTATTTAAATACTCTCCCGTTATGTTCCTTTCGATTTTTCAGAAATGGTGTCCCTTAGCTCAACTCAGGAAACATCTCACGACCAAAATAGTGTTGAACACACTCCTGAGATAACCGAAAATCCAGAGAAAACACCTTCTACAGAAGCAGTCCGCACCAAACAAACTCCAGAGCATATTCAGAAGAGACATCATGAAAGTCAGATCAATGGAGACATTTATGATGGCCTTCGGTTCGATGGTTATGGGAAAATCCAAAATCGAAGTAAACCAATCAAAACCTCGTTAAAATTGGGTGGTCTGACCAGGCAAAACCGTTTTTGGAGATGAGGATTGATATTTTTTAATATATATTTCTTTTGAAGAAATAATTTATTTGTTTTAAAATATGTCAAATATATGCATAATTTATGTGATATTAGAGTTTTTCTCATATATTATTATATATTAAAACCGATTTGAACTAGTTAAACTTAATCCGATCATTAAATCTCGAATCACTTGCCAAACTGACTTGATGGGTTAATCCGGTTCCGGTTTGACAACCTTGCAGGCTTGCACAACGCCCTAGTCCCTACTATGCACGGCGAAGTCCTTTTGGGCTCAGTAGGGTGCAGCCGCGGCCCGCTCTATTCCCCGGCAGGCCCATCAGACCCTCTGAACTCTGAAGAGACAAAGACCACAGCAATGGCTGTTTCGCTCTTCTTGCGCGCGGCTGGAGGATACACGGTCACACCTACTTCTCCACAAAACCGAGCTTCAAACAGCCAGCCGTCGACGGCCTTTTCACTCGGCTGAATAGAACGGCGATTTCGCCTTACAAATTTCTTCATCGATTGATTTCCACTTCCAAGGTATTACTCGAACAGGTTACGAGTGTCTTCCCCCTTTTTTTTTTTTGCTTGTTTTTCTTCGCCGACGAACCAATGAAGAACCAATCATTCTGACTGCGTCGTCATGGTTTTGATAGAATGGCTGCCGAGGATTCAAGAAAACGCGCAATGGACGCGTTGGAGAGAAGGTTTGCTGTCGCTGAAGCTGAGGTGCTGCAACAACAGAAGAGCAGCGAAAAGAGGCCGCGATTAGAAGGAAGCAAAAGAGAAGGCAAAGGTTCTGCAGCCGCCGATACTCGGAAAGGTGCTCTGTCACTTTCAGCAATTGAAACCTCAGAAGCTGCTCTTTTGTTCGACTATGTATCTGATGTCTTTTGTTTTTTCTTCATTGGTGGCAGGGAATTTCTTTTCTTCAAGTTACTTCTCTGCTCGAGGTATGAACAATTCATGTGATTCGTATCACTCATCTCTGTTTGGAAACTCCTGTTAACTGTTGAAATTGAATACTCAATCAGATATGGAAGATAGTGGTTTGACATATTCAGAAATCTCTCATCCTGTACATGATAATCTGTTAAACACCAACGCCGAGGTGCTTAGCTCAAAACCCCTCTTTCAGAGTTCACCATTCTGTTTGCTCTTTGTACGTAACTCGAACATTTGCTTGCTCTGCAGGTTCAGACTAAGAGAGGTGGGAACGCAGTGGACAAGATTTTGCACGATCTTTTCCAACATGGGGATTCTGCGCAAAAGTATATGCAGGGCTCCAGAAGTAAAAGAATTGATAGTTGGATACTGCTGGATAACTATGTGCAAGGGCGCGGGAAATCCAAGTCTTCTCGTGCTGAAGTCCTGCAATCGCAGGCGAAGCGCTCTAAGACGCATATGTCCATGAGGCAACATAAGAAGTGTGGATCTCTGGAGCTGCCTGAACATCTACAGAAGTAAGTTCCAGTTCTTCATTGGAAACCCTTTTTCGCAATTGAAGAATTTTTTTGTTAATCTGATGGATTGATTTTTGGTTGCAGATTTGATGTCTTTAAGCCCATGCATGAGATGTGGAAAGGATATATGTCGCAGCTACTCAAGACCACTGGGTGATATATTCACCATGTTTTCAAAATTTCATACTATACATCTTTATGATAACAGTTTTTAGGTAGATTATTTGACTTTATATTGATCCTACTTGCAGAGGAAATCAGTTGGCTCAGTGTCTTCTTAGTGCAGACCTTCACGGTGCCATTATTGCAGGTATGTAGTTGAGATTATCATGTTTGAGCACCTTAAGTAACCTAGGGACACTGAACTTTGATGCTTTGAAACACCTCAGTAACGAAATAAACTTGTTTCTTGGACTCGTAGCATTGCTTGTAATGCAGAACCTGCTTTTTTGTCAGTGAGTAGTTGAGAAAGCCGTCATATGCATGATAATCCTCAATGACCTAAGCCTCTGCCCATGTCTATTCTACCAAGGCTGACGATAGCTGATCCTACACTTATGATTTTAGCTTGGTCATTGGGCTAATCTACCAACATTTCCATAGGTTTCATGACCTGAACCACATGTTTAGGGAGAACTTCTTTTGGAACTAGTCAACGTAAAATTAAGTTAGACTGCAGAGACAAATTGTTCTCTTCTTTCCCACACACAAAAAAAAAAGTTTTTCTCTTTCAAATCTTGTGTGCAAACATTCTCATCTTTCTGTCTACCGTTCTGCAGTTGCCCAGTGTAAGATATCATCTTTGACTGGAGTAAGTGGTATTATGATCCGTGAAACTACAGAGACATTCGGGATAATTACACAAGATAACAAGTTTAGAGGTAACTGCATCTGAACTCTGAAGTAAGGTCCTCATATTTTCTCAATTCCTTCTTTTTTTCCTGTTTTATGAGCATTAGCTAACAATTCCATAAAACCTCTTAAACTATGCAGTTGTCCCCAAAAAGCTTTCAGTTTTTATATTCCAAGCGGATTCCTGGAAGATAACACTGCAAGGAGACAAGCTCACTTCAAGGAATGCCAGTGTGCAGTCTTAGTTATTTCAGACCAGGTACACTCTTCAGTAGCACACCATATAACAGGAGTGGTTCATTAGTTCAAAGTACAACTTAGTTGTTCAACTCTAGCTTCTAGCTTATTGGTCAAAGGTTCTTGGATTGTACGGGTACGAGCTGGCATTGAAACTGCTCAAACTCTTGGAGAAATGGAGGGCTGGAGGTCATGGGGGGAAAAGTATTCACAGTGTATGCTGAAAGCGTCCTTATTTAATACGATTCTTGGTAGGAAACTGCATTAGAAATCTGATGTATCTTGGACTTATGACCGGAAGCTCTGCTGCAGTTTTCATTTGATGGTTGGGCTAAGTCGATCAGTGCTCCAGCCTGTGGACGCTTTTGTGATATCTGCAACCAATGATTTTGTGGTTGGAATGCAAAGCTGCTTGTAGAACTAGAATGTGCAAAAGGAAAGAGAAGTTATGTATTGTATAATCCATGACAGTTCAGAACGAACACCACGGTTAGTACGACAAGGAGAAAAGCCAAAGAGTCGAATAAGAAGAAGGCGACGGAGACTATAGTTTGATGTGAGGCTTGTTGTGCCGTAACCGTAAGAATTGATAACACATTTCTTGATGGAGATAACATTCGTTTTGATATGACTTCCAGGTTGAACTGACTTCCAGGAAAATATTGCTTGGTTTTGATATGGGTTAATTGCAAGGTTGGTCACTGAGTTTACTAAAAACGTTCATGTTTAGTCACTGCAAATATTTAATTCCGTTCATGGTCACTAAGATTAGTTCAATAGTTCAAGTTTGGTCACTCTCCGTTAGTCTCCGTTAATTTTTGCTGATGTGGCAGTCAACTATTATAGTTGACCGTTAAATGAGTGACGTGGCCATTAAAATATATTTAAATATTTACAATTTCCACCTCATTTTACAACTATTAAAAAATAAAAATAAAACTTAACAGCTCTCTCGCAATTTGCATTATAGGGATTTTCATAAACCCTCCCACAAAGTCTTTCCCTCCCCGACTCCATTTCGCCGGCCGCCATGAACAGGGGACCAGGTCTCTTCTCCGACTTCGGCAAGAAGGCCAAAGGTAAATCATTTCGTTCAAAACGGGAACAATCAAATTAACGAAGTTAGGGACACTGAATCACAAACCCTATTCTTGATGCCGGTAATCCGGTTGAAGACGATGACACGGTAAACGGCAATTCCAGCGGCGTAAACGGCAATTCCAGCAGCGACTCCAAACTTGACCAGCGCAGATCCCACTTGGACTGAAGGAACCCTGGGGTTGTTCTTCGAAGCCATCTGCGGAACTACTGAAACAGCAGAAAAGAGAGAGTCAAAAAATCGTGGAAGGACAGATCCCTCCAACTCCCCGAATCCACAGAAACAGAAAACGAAGACGGGTAGAGAACAAGGAAGAGGAAAGGGAGGGAGAAATTCCGGTAAGCGACGGCGAAGCAAAGAGACGAACCTCAACTGAAAGCGGCGGAGACAGGGAGAGAGGTGAATTGCGAGACAGGAGAGAGATCAAAATCGCCGTGGCGTAGATGGCGGAGGCCATGTATTAAGTTTTATTTTTATTTTTCAATAGGTGTAAAATGAAGTGGAAATTGTAAATATTTAAATTTTATTATTTTATTATTTTTTTAATGGCCAAGTCATTCATTTAATGGTCAACTATAATAGTTGACTGCCACATCAGCACAAATTAAAGGAGACTAACGGAGAGTGACCAAACTTGAAATATTGAAATAATCTTAGTGACCATGAACGGAATTAAATATTTGCAGTGACCAAACATGAACGTTTTTAGTAAATCAGTGACCAACCTTGCAATTAACCCTTTTGATCTGACTACTGTTTCATTGATGGTAATAAAAAAAAAATCACATTTAATTGAACAAGACTACGATGTTTTGTTTAAAGAAAATGAAGGGGGGAAATGTTCACGAATTTCGATTTTTCAAAAGCTAATCGAGGAATCCATTTCTCATCGTCTTCATCCCATCCCAGCTGTTGTGAGACAATGACTCTTTCTTTTGTTGATCCGCCAGCTCTCTGCTCTTCGTTGTTTGCTTCGATTCGTCTTCTCTTCGGGCGAGGCGATTGGAGAAGGTAACCTTTCGTGTCGTAGCTGAGGTTGGCCGACCTCCCTCTCAGCATATCAAACACTTTGATCGGACCCATACCTTCGAATGAAATTTTTTTCCGAGCCAAACGTCGAACAATTTGGCTCATTTTCAACCCTAATCAAAAGCAAGCAACCCAACTATACAAGTGTCTGCCATAAATGCATCGCAACGTAAAAAAAAATTCAATTACTATTATAAAATGGGAAAACAACTGTATATATTCACAAAGGAAGTTGGTTGGATGGATTCACCAGAAGCACTGGCTGGATTGCGTTTTCTCTTTCAATTTAAAACTGGGAGGCCGTACGGTATAATGGATGTCACCATTTAATTTTCTGCTCATCCAATCTTTTGCCTATATTGAGTGGGAACAACAAGGCGGAGTGAAAACTGGAAATTGGGACTCAATCACTATGCAGTTTTTAAATTTTAATTAGTTTTGGATGAAGGCATGTGCATAACAGCTACATAGGGAGTAAAGCTCAACTGCTCTTTCTCTCTGCCCACTTTTGTTGTTTCCATTCTTACTGTGAACCTTCAAAATCAACATTTTGTCCTAAAATCAAACATGTTGTTGTTTTCTTATGTGGGATATGGCAATTTTGTTATTGATTGTGATTGTGGTGATTTTTATATTTGTCACCTAACTTGCTTGCTCACATGGGTTATTAACTAATCTTGAGATTTGGCATTAATCTAATTTTGTTTCCATGCGGATTTTAAACATGATTGTCATAAAAATAATTTTTGTTATAGTAGGATCTGTTTGGATGTGAACTTCTATTGAATTCTCAAAATTTCTGTCATTCCATTTTCGCGTGAGCAGAGAATCATTTGTTTGTCTCGGCAGTGCTACGTGGGAACTCTGGAGATGTCGGAATAGGGGAGCTCTTATCTTGCGGTAGGCTTACTATTTAGATGCTTTCAGTAGTTATTCGCTCCGCACTTTCAAATGCATGCATTTGAAATAATTATATTTGAAATACATGTAATTCAAATTTATCGTTTGGCAGAATTACACTTTCGTTCATTGAATTTGTCAATTATTTTCACATATATCACCAAAAAAAAGTCTTCCTTATTAGTCGCTCATTTTAATCATCATTTTATCATTAATCACATGTTGTCCAATTTTGTTAGACTCGTTCTACATTGCAGTTAACTGTGAATTTTGACATTAAATAAATGGTGTAATTTTTTTTAAATAATTGTAATTAATTCCACCTCATCACTACCTTACCCTTGGCAACAATCACTCTGTCATTTCCCCATAAGAATAGGGTTGTTGAAACTTACTGTTTCATTGAAGAATATGAGATATGTACAAGCACCTTATATACGCTGCAAAGAATCCTACATGCGGAACAATGAATAACGACTATACAATTGTCTAAATAAGTACGAAATTAAGTGTGTTTTGGTTCGTATGTAGGATAACATCGCACTGGTAGGATGATGTCGTTTGGCGCTTCATTAAGCAGTAACCTTGAAATCGGATTTTAAGTCACACATGGTAACCCATATATGGGCCAAGTCGACCCAATTCACTACTCCTTCTTCATCTAACTTTCAGACTCCCCCTCCATCTTCTAGCTGAGAGCGTAGATGTTTGTAACTCCCAATATGGTGAGTAGGAAATGCAATCTATGACAAATCAAACTCTTTGTGAACATATGTCAATTGTGATTATACACTAACATGATTGAGAGTCACAAATTATGTCAAGAATGTATAAATCATACTAAATTGCACTTAAAAGCTTACGCTTTTACGCTTCTAGTTCACCAAAACGCTTTGCGCTTTTACGTTTCTAATTCACTAAATGAGTATTCTATTCACAAAATTAATTATAGAAAATATATTTTAAAGGTAAATCACTAACAATATGTTACATTTGACTTTGAGATTAAAATATACATATCAAGTACTTGGATGCATTCTTAGCTTCAATAGAGTAATCTAATTCACCAGCTAGGCCCTTCCCAAATTCATTAGCATCGAGGGGAATGTGACTTATTGTTAAGATCTATGTTTATGAACTTACTATTAAGATATTATGAGTTGCTATACTTTAGACATGAATTGCAAGTATTTATTAACTTATCTAAATTCTGTGCACTAATATTTTACATAGTATATGTCATACTTAACACATTTTTAGCGATTTTACAATATGTGTAAAAAACTTATGCTTTTATGCTTTGATTCTACGTTTTACGAATTTATCTCTTATCCGCTTCTAGGTAGAATCACGTTTTTGACTGCATTGCTTTTGGGGAATGCCGACTAGCTAGATTTCATTGGTTAAGTGGAGGAAAAACTTGTACATGAGTGTGCGGATTCTCGTCATTTAGACTGTGGAATTGAATGCTTGATTTAACTCAATGATCATGTAATTAAAATCTCATTATACTTGATGTGTGTTCTAGTCTTAATCCAGATAGTTTGTCACTAATTTAGGTCAAGCACCTAACAATGAAATCACCTTTTACTAAACGGTGTATAAGGCAAGATGTATGCTATAACCATTAGCCATTAGGAATATTCTAAATGTTTTACAAAATTAATGGTTATATTCTAAATGTTTTACAAAATATTATTTATAATTAATTATTTCTATATATTGGTCCTGTGCACAGTGCACTATCCGAAAACTCTAACCGAAGGAAAAAGGGTGGAAAAGCCGTAGGAGCGGCCGAGAGTGCGGCGACTGATTGGTCAGTAGTAGCACTGAGCTATGACTTTTGTCTTATGAAGGGAAAGTTGGGCCCAGCCCAAGAAAAAAGCCCAACCATCGTTATCCGGTTTTAAATTTCCACACACAGTAGTCGCTGGAAGCAATAAATAATAATATTAATAATTATTACTGACAAGATTATAAAAAATACTGACAAAAACAATATAAAAACAGAGGAGAGAGAGAGAGAGAGAGGAAACAGTCGGACACAGACAACGAAGGAAAGAGAGAGAGAGAGACCGGGGAAGTGTGCGCAGAAGAAGCAAAAAAGGAGCAAAGCTAATTGAGAAGAAGCCATTAGTCCATTACCCTCTCTGACCTCTACTCTGCTCTTCCTCTACCCAATGCACTTCTTTTCTTTCTCCCACTGCTAGGGTTTTCCCTTCCCTTCTCTGCTCCCTTCCCAAACCCACAACTTCACCATTGTTTTCCATAAAACAGAGCAACTCGAAACAGAGTGAAGAAGAAGAAGAAACCATTTTTTCCGACCTTGACCATCTACAGGTACGACTCATCAAAATGTCATCTTTTCTTCTGTTTAGTTAACTTCTTTTGTTTTCTTTGGAGTACGAGAAAGGGCGGGGTCTCCTGTTTGTTTCAACTTCTCTCTGTTTGTTTATTGGGTTTGGTTTCTTGTGTGTACTTTTGATGCTTGGGCTTTTGAACTTTCGAAATGTGTCTTTGTTTTGTTCTCCGTGGTACTGTTTGAGATTCTTTATTGCTACCAACGCCCTTTGTTCCTTCCCCTCTTTATTTCTCCTCTCTAGTTTGATGGCAAAGCAAATCTGAGTTCTCTCTGGTAAACCTCTGCTCCTTTGGTTTGGGTATTTTTTTCT